TTTAACGGCGTTATTTATCTCAGGACCATACAAGTCTTCAGCGATCAAACGAACTTTGATTGCCTCGACAATGCCAGCTAGATTTTCTAAAGAAAAAAGATTGACTTCTGCAACTTTGTCCGATTCGGTTGGCACATTGACATTTGCTTCGCGGTGTTTGGAATTCGTGTGTTTTGTTAAGCCACCTTTCGACTCACAAACTTTATTGCAATACGAGCAAGGAAACGACTTCTTGCCTTCAATTTCTGTTACGGCTTCGAGAAACTCAGCGTCGAGTTCGTCCGTTTCTGTGTCTAAGATCGCGAGCGATACATTTAGATTGAAATCCTCGTTTGACTCCTCGCCTATATTTTCTAAATCTTCTTCGGTGATATCCTCTGGAAAGTCCTGAATGTCGCCAATGTCAGCTTCTTGATCGATCCCCGCCATAGCCTTTGTTTTTCTTGCCTTCACTGCGTGAAATGATAAATATTTTCGAACGGCAAGTTGGATTGTAGCAAATTTCACTATATCGCCATATTGTTTTTCACTCCTGGCATACCGCTTATTGATCACGTGACAAAAGTAAAAATTGGTTCCCGACATAAATTTCTGAGGCCTTTGAAGTTTGCCGGCTAGCCTTACCATCCCCCTTCTATTAACTGTGGTTCTTTGCGCACAATATCTATAAATTTTGAATTCGAATCGCATTCAACGGCGTATATGAATATCAGCGTTTATATAATAGCTATACTATGGTAAATCTTTGTGAGGACAGTGCTTGGATATGAATAATGAACATGAATATTAAATATTTAACAAAATTAAAGCTAAACAGTCGATTCTGTCGAAAGATCAAATCGAAGGAAGAGCGTTGAATTGCTGCCAAAGGCCAAATCATGGTCAAGATTGTGCGAATTTCAGGTTGATAGATTTGTTTGAACGTTTGAAGCGGTCCCAAGAATATTGCTTACATTTTTAAAATACATATCCCTTCTTGTCTGTTTTAACTGTACAACATAGGAATGATCATCACTTCTAGTCTTCAATAGTCAGTGGTCATATGAACGTGTTTTGACTGAGGCAATGGTTCACACTTCACATTGTTTACAGATACAATAAAAGTATATGGCCCCTGTACATAAGCCCCCATCAAAAAACTTTACGAACGAATATAAGCCCAAGGCATATGTTCGGAGGTTCACGTTATGCCATTATATATCTGATTCTCTTGTGTTCTTTGATTGGCAGTAAAAACTGTAATCATTTTAATGGTGCCTGTTCTTATAGTTTTTTCATTCTTTTATATTGATGTAAACCAAATGATATATCACTTTTGCATGCTGTAGTACATCAAACACAAAAGAACCGGGTTTAACCATAGAGGGTTCAGACCACCTGATAAAGGAGATTGACAGTAGCACAGCTATACAAGAAGGTATATAATCAGTACCATGTAATGTTTTATGAAGATAAACTCTTTTGATGTATTACATCGCTGCTGTGGGATTGGTTTATCTGCAGTGGTCTGCATGTTACTGGGTCCAAATGCATTGTTGTGGGAAAATTGCCTAAAGCAATATAGTTATAGGGCAGAAGAAACTCTTAAAACTGAATTTAGTTGTTACTACTGTATACCGTACTGCCTAATGAAGTGATTTTAGTCAATATAGATATATACATATGGTGTTGTATATGCATAATTGATATAGTTAGCTATACTGTACACAGGGCCGCCTAGAGAATTTGCGGGGCCCGAGGCAAACCTTCCCTGGGGGCCCCATGACATTATTTTTAAGCCTTAAACTAAAGCTAGACTGCATGTGGAGGTGCTGTAAGTGGCCCTCAATTTCAAAAATGCTCTTTATAGAACCTACTCAATTTTAGGCTCTTGCTCCAAGTTGCGGCCCTATATTTAAGGTGGGGGCCCAGGGCAATTTGCCCCCCCCCCTCTTAGCGGCCCTGACTGTACATGTGATTATTTTGATTATAGCTAAATAGAATATGCAACCCTAACGTAGAATGTGTTATATTTTGTGTGTATACCATATTGCTAAGCCATTGAGCTGAATTGTGCCCTACTTTGTTGTTTTACTATCAATATTTCAAACATGGCTTGTTTTGGCAAGACATGACATCCTTTTGGTTTTTCACATATTGAATTTGACAGAATGTCATCTCTGCGATATATCGAAACAATGCCATTTCTTTGATGTATCAAAACCATGGATAGTTTAGAGTATTCGACATATTGAAAAAATGGCAATCTTTTGATATATCGAAGAAATGGCATTCTTTCAATATATAGAAGCCATGGATAGTTTAGTTTTCGATATATCGAGGAAATTGCAATCTTTCGATATATTGAGGAAATTGCAATCTTTCGATATGTGAAGAAATGGCATTCTCTCGATATATCGAAGAAATGGCATTCTCTCGATATATCGAAAAAATGGCATTCTTTTAATATATTTTAGAAATGGCATTCTTTCGATATATCGAAGAAATGGCATTCTTTCGATATATCGAGGAAATTGCAATCTTTCAATATATCGAAGAAATGGCATTCTTTCGATACCGGTATATCGAAGCATTGGATAGTTTAGAGTTTTCGATATATCGAAGGTGGCATGTGCCATGTTCCTGATATATAATTTTCACTGACTGTGGCTGCCTCCAGACATGTTTTGGAACTATAACATTTCCTTCTTTTTTTCCCTTTTATACACATGCCTTTTACTCACTTTGCTAAAAACAATAAATTTTGGCCAATTTTTTTAGCAGTTTTTTCCTCTTAGAGATTTAGTATCTTTTTAGTCATATCTTGCAACTTGGAAAAGCTAAAATTGTTGCAAAATGTGTATGTTTTTGCTGAATATATTTCCAGTCATTTTTAACATGCATTTGATGTGATTTTCCTATTAAAACATGAAATCTGTCATTGTCCACATTTGCAATTATTCTTATGTTTTTAACCAATTTTTATCATGTTTGAAAAGGAATTCTTGTTTTCATGCAGAATTATTACATTTATGTATAATTTCTCCACAGTCATGGCTGTATTCATTGCATTTTTTAGTGTTTTCTTTCATTTTCCTCTCAAATTCTGTTAAATAGAATATTGGACCCTATAGTAGAACGTGACGCGCGAACCGTTAAAATAATCAAAAAGCAATAACAGAAACCTAAAAGAATTAATTCTAAACTGTATTGAAAATTTTAAAATGTTGAACCGAAATAGTTAGATATACAAAAGAAAAGATACAACAAAAAATTGTGTCGTGAGTAACTCGAAACAACACCTCTTTTGACTGTGTGTATATATATTATATAGTATTTTTTCCTGAGATCAGAAGAATCAAGTAATTTTTCAAGGCCAATTTGATTTCCGTTCAAACCACTCTGCGACACATGCCATATTACTTATTACAGAAACAATTCAAAAAGCAGCCAAAACAAAATATATTCATGTGGTACCTTTCTTGATTAGAGTAGAGCTTTTGTTACTGTAAATCATACAATATTACTTAAAAATCTTGAAAACAGTGGAATAAGAGGAATAGTTTTCATCTTATGTTTCAAACAGAGAGTAGTATGTCTCGATTGGCAATGTAATATCTGAGCAAAAGCTATCTCTTGTGGAGTTCCACAAAGTTCAGTTTGCGGCCCTTTGTTATTTTTGTTATATATTAATGATTTTAACAACTCTGCTCCAAAACTTAAGTTTCATTTATTTGCAGATGATTCAAACTTATTTTGCTCTGATTATAACCTTCAAACGTTAGAAAGAATATTATTACCATTTGCATTCAAGCGTTAAGCGTTAAGCGAAATTACGGTTTGTTTCCGGTTTTGAGAACATGGGTTTGCCCAATGAAAACTGTACGTTTGACAGGTCAAACTTGTACGTTTGACATTTCAATTTTCAAAACAACACTTCGCTGGGCGGGACTTACTGTATATTAAAAATAAACCTCTGGAAGGTACGGTATTGTTTACACGGGATTTATAAATTAGTTATTTACTAAACTTAGACCAGTTTAATAGTTTGACATTTCATTGATATCATATTAACATATATCCATTCATACTATTATACAGGGTGTATATCGCATTGAGATCGATCCCTTATTTGCTTTCAACGTTCCGATCAGTTCCAAGTCATTGTCAGTTAATTTGCGATTATTAATACGTAATCCTCCACGTGATTGTACAGCAAAACTGTTTCTTTGGCAAAATTCCCTCCATATCTTTGCAACTGTTTGCTGCGAAACGCAGAAACGTTTCGAAATCTCGATATAAGTAACTGGAATATAACCTGTTAAACTGTCTCCTCCCTTCTCAATAATTGTGTCCAAGATTAATACTCGAAAGTCTTCTGAGAAAGGTTTTCCACTAATATAGGATCTTCCAAACTTATTCGTTTTAAAATTACCCATTTGTTGGTTTTGAGTATAAACACTATTAAATCACTAGTAAATAAAATCAAATATTCAAATGTAGTCTGTATTAATAAGTCCCGCCCAGCGAAGTGCATGTTATTTTGAAAATTGAAATGTCAAACGTACAAGTTCGACCTGTCAAACGTACAGTTTTCATTGGGCAAACCCATGTTCTCAAAACCGGAAACAAACCGTAATTTCGCTTAACGCTTGAATGCAAATGGTAATAAATGAGCAGTTAAAATAAACTCTCAATAAATATTGAAAAGTCAAACATTGTCCTTTTTCTTCCATAACAAGAGAAAGTTGATTACTCGATAAACCCTAAAATTCATGACAACAAAATGAAGGAGAAGAAAACTATCAAATATTTTGGCGTAATTATGGATGTAATATATATATGAACAACGAGAGCGAGTGTTTCACCGGGATATCCAAACACGAGAAAACAATGTATGAAAACACGAGCGCGAAGCGCGAGTGTTTTCATACATTGTTTTCGAGTGTGTGGATATCCCGGTGAGACACGAGCTCGAGTTGTTTATATGGCTTCTCAAATGAATCGAGACGTAACAGAATGTTTTCGTTTGCTGATTTGAATAGAATTCTTAACCAAGCATAACGTAATTAGGAATTCTATTCAAGCAATTTTGCATGCGGAATTAAGATATTTGATGAAAACACTAGTGACTATCATCAAATATCTTAATTACGTGTGCAGCTAACTTACTCTTGTGGTGCTGTGTCTGACGGTGTTTGACCGCGGTATCCAAACAGCATCTTGTGACGGAATGATTACATGTTATTGGTTTAATTGCTCACGAATTAATAATGAATTTGAGAATGTAATTTGAACTATCGAAATACGAGTCTTTGAGTTATGCAAAAATATCCAAAGGTATTGGCATATTATTTAAACTTCGTGATTTTGTTTCAATTGATCCAAGTTTATTACTCAGTAATCTACCTATTTATTATGTACGCTGTCCTGGTATGGTTACATATATACAAAAGTAATTTCCATCCATTATTGCTCCTGCAAAAGAAGGCTATGAGGAAATAACATTTTCCTGTTTTCATGAGCACACTTCCCCATTATTTAAGGCATTAAAGTAGCTAAAATGTCAGGATCTACATTATGTCAATACAGCATCATTCATGTTTCAGTATGGTTCGGGCAATCTTTCGGCATATTTTGGTGACTTTTTTACCTTCACTATACAACCCGTTTAGCGTTTACAAATTGCATATGTTATCCCACCAGTTCGTACAAATTATGGAATATTTAATATTAGATTTTGTGGACCTAAAGTTCGGAGCTCTGTCGATGCATGAATCTTTAAAGTCTCTGTGTCTATAGACTTGGTTCAAGTCCGTTACAGGAGAAAAGTAGGATAGAGACAGGCTTGGGACATTCGCAGCATCTCGAATGTTACTTACAAAAATTGGCGCGAAAGTTTGTTGTTGTTCTCAATTGGCAAGCCACGCCTCCGTAGGAAAACTCCGACGGTAAAATTTGGCGCGTTGGCAGGGTATCCAAGTCCGTTTCTGCCTACTCAAATATTTCCGCGCCTTTTTTGACCGTTTGCGTGCATCGCTATTTTTAACCCCTTGAGAGACGGACTTGAACCAAGTCTACTGTGTCTAGAAAAACTTAAAGAACGTACATATAATTCTTTCTTATTGATCTAAAATTAAAAATGATGAAGATATTAGTGTGTTATTTGTTGGTGTTTTGTTTCTTGTTCATTTTCCTATAAAAAATGTTGCATAATCATGACCAAACCCATTTATTTTATATTTTGTTTAATGAAGGTCACCAGACTCGTCCATCCCCTATGGTTATTTAAGGTGGCCTGTACTCATCAATCGTAATTATGTATCGTGTGTCTACATATTTTTCTTTAACTCGTAATGTTCGAGTACAAATAAATGTATTGTTGTTGTTTATTGTCAAAAAAGAAACATCAAACACTACAACAAAAATAATATCTGAAGGGAATAAAATTGCAGAAAAACTCGGCCTTGATCCACCCGATCTTTCATAAGTTTCGATGTAGTATGTAGTAGATTTGTACTGATCCACATCTGACAAATTACTCAATGAAGCCTGAACGTTCGCTTCGCAATACGATACTATATAACCGACAACGAAAAAAGTTCATCATACAAGCAAAAAGATCACTACTTTTTAGCAGAAATACAACTTGGGGAAAAAAAAGACAACAAAATCGATGTTACAATTGGAAGCTTAGACGGTGCAGAAACATGTGAGTTGGTGGCCTCATACCTACCGTCAAAGCTCACACCAGAGTACGGCAATGATATTGCTTTCACAGAGATGACAGTCTTGCAATAAAACACGAAGAGAAAGAGAGAACATCAAAAAACACATTTGCAAAGTCTTCAGTGATCACAACGTTAACCTAAAGGATAAAACTTAATATCCAAACAAACAAAAACTGCCTAGACATTACACTTGACCTACGGTCCGCATCATACAAGCCTTATATGAAAACCGGAAACACACCAAAATACGTAAACCGCGAAATTAACCAGCCATAAACAACAGACTATCCAACATATCATCGGATAAGTAATCATTTGATTCCGCCATTCCCCCATATCAAAAAGCCCTACGACTACAAGCTTGATTACAATTCCCAACCACCCAAACATAAACGATCTAGAAGCAGAAATGTAATATGGTTCAATCCACCAAAAAAACAGGGGCGGATCTAGGGGTCGTCAAACCAGTCACGCGACTAACGTAAAAATTGCAAACTTAATTAAAGTCTTAAATATTCGACCAATAGTCCAGTTATTTTTTATCATGCAGCGACACCTTATAATAGTCCAGTATTTACTAGAAAATACATGCATGCAGAAACCCTCGCCTTGCTGACAAAACCATTGTATTTTCCGAACATGAAGTATCTAAGTTGTCATGGTAACACGATAATTTTTTAAGAATATTCAATTCTTACAAATGAAAAATCGCTTATAAATATCACTTTTAAGCACAAAATTATTAATTTCCCAACATATATATATTAGGTATGTTATTATACGTAATATAAGCCTCGATTTAAGGTAAAATTCAACCACAAACGCTTCGCAAAGCGTTTTAAAGTCATTAGTGTTCTTTTAATAATATAAAACTAAACTGCCTTTTAAAATGGCTTTATCAATAAACTTTGAGTTTGCAATAAACTGATTTAAAATTCTAGCTTGCAAATAAATTTGCTTTCTTATTTATTTAAAAATTTCAATATCATAAAAAAGGGAATCAATATTAAAGATACACTGAAATTAAATGCTGTCTTGTTTAGTTGTTTCATATACGCAAAGGCCGTCGGGTTTTAAATCATTATAAAATCAATATTTAAAACAAACTTACCTTCGTTAACGTCGGCTCCCTTCATTTAGCCGATTCTTTCGCAGTTCCTTTCTCAGAGAGCTTTTGAAATTTACAAAATCTTGCAAAAATGCGAGCAAAAATGAAATATATTTGCAAGAAATTTATCAATCATCAAATCAACTCAAGAAATGTTTGCTATTTCGCTGTTGTCATGCAGTCGTTATAATGCAAACTTTAAATTTTGTGTTCAATATATAGACCACAGTAAGACTTTTTTAAATGTTTATTTCATTAACAAACGACGTTTCGGAGATTTACTCCATCTTCAGGTAGGATTACAATTTGAATTTAAACTAACATGCGCATGCATAAACGTTATGCGCATGCGCATGTTAGTTTAAATTCAAATTGTAATCCTACCTGAAGATGGAGTAAATCTCCGAAACGTCGTTTGTTAATGAAATAAACATTTAAAAAAGTCTTACTGTGGTCTATATATTGAACACAAAATATACTAATAACATGAGACTTAGGGAAAGTTCGTTCCTAAACATTTTGAAGAAACTTTAAATTGGACCAATCAGTGTCCGCTATTCGTGACAGTCCGCCATATTTTTGAGATCAGTGAGGATGACCACCCACCCATAGATATAGGAGACCTAGATTGCTGACTCTAATGTTTTCTATAATGCACGCGCGTGACACTCATGAGCATTCAAAATGGCGGCTCAACCGGGCAAAAATCATAGAGCGAGATAGGGAAAAACCATGTTTTTCGCATTTTGCGTCGTCCTACAGCTTCCGATCCCGCTCTATCACTTTATTTCGGCAAGAACTAACTGGTGTGAAGGTTTTGGATGAATATTTGTACAATTTAAGTTTAATAAAGACGAAATAATCGATCGCTAAATGTTATCTGAAAATCATCACATAGTCGGTTGGAGCAGTTCGAGACATTTTGTTACAGAAAATAAAGGTTTTGGTTCTTTGGGTGCTTTTTTTCTCGAGGATCTCGGTTGGGATATATAACAGGGAATAATATTGTGAAGTATTTTGAAGTTAAAACCTATTTTACTTGATTTATTTGGTCTGCTGGTGCGAAAATTCTGATGCTTTGTTTAGTGTGACTTTGACAACCTCCTTGCTGCTGCAGATGTCAAGGTATCTCAAGTCTATATGGCCTGGACAGTGAAA